GCCATCCCGTGTAGCTTGTTGGGTCACAGAGGTGCACAAGCCATCACTTCACGTCAAGGTACAGTCTCGTCGTGTGCAGAAAGAGACTCGTTGATGAGGGATGTCATCATGCTAGTTCGAGGGGCTGCTCCAAACTTGAGAAACGCTGGAGAAAGAACATCAGGGACCGCAGATGACGATGATTCGAAGGAAGGTAGAAGCTTAAAGATTTCATCATTGGAGAAAGGGAACAGATCGGAATTAGAAACCTCATATGGGAAAGAAGGTATCCGATTATCGTTAGACGGATGAACAAATGCAGCGTCAAGGCTATTTACGTCAACATCACTGTTCACATTTTTCCTTTTTTGACCGCAGAGAAGACGAATTCCTTGCCACAGAAGCCTTTTGTTTTTCGTTTGCATGATTTGGNNNNAACACGTTTTACCTCAGCCTTAATTATTATGGAATAGTAATCTACAGCAGATGGATGATGAGATTCATAGGTTCGTTTCTTTTGCCTTCGTAACGAGCTCAAATGAGGAGATGCAATTTTGCTGTTGAAAACAAACAGTGTTTACATCGGACAGCAAAAATGGAAGATCGATTTTATTTTTTCGGTGAAAAGACTGACACAGTTAAGAAGTGATGAGCAAGAAGCAAACCAAGGTTGGGCAACCGTTATGGAACGACAGAGAAAAGAAATGTAGTTTGATGAAAAGTTACAGAGATGAAACCTTATCTGGTTTGATCGTATGAATGTCAGATACACAGAGCAAGAGTACATCTTTGGTCTTAAGAGGAGAACACAATGATCACTGGTAGCTACTGAGATCATTGGTTTGAGAGAAAACAAAGTGAGATGGTTTGCGATTACCCCGTCAAGTATAGAGTTGCCCCTGGTAGGAGAATGAGACAAATCGGACAAGCCAAGCAGAGGGAAAGTGCTTGCACGCACCAACAACCAAATGAAGATTCTCATCTAATATTGGAACCAGAAAAAGGGATGTAAACATCAAAGACGACCTATGAGACTGATGACTCGGTTTTATTCCTTTGGCAGTTGACGGTTAATCGAAGTACCTTCGGAGGTTCTCACACCGTCAAAGACCACATGTATGTGGTTTTCTGATTTATAATCCTGGGTTGCGGTTTGAAGCGGCGTCTCGACTTTGCAACATCACAATTTTGGAGTTTGAATCGCAAAACAAACAAGGACTCTATTTCTGAAATTATATCTAGTTCCGTGCTAAGCAATACATCATCGTCGTCGTCATCATCGTACGGATGAATACAGTGATTTGAACTTCACTGATCGTTGTCAACACACTAACATCCACAAGCACGAAACCCGTTTAGGAAACGAAGTCAATGATTAAAATCTTAAGTGCAAGTTCTTGTCCTGCATTCTTTTCCTTCACATTTTATTTTATACAATAACAACGACATCACGAACCTGTTATTTATCTTTTTCTGACGTTTGCCTTCTAATCAAATAGAAAACGGGGTCGAGTGATAAGTCAGGAAACCATTGGTGACCGGATAATTCTATCGGGTGGCACGCTCAGTTGCTGCTGAATAAAATATAAGTACCCAGTTCAGGAAGCTCCGAATAGCAAATCGGACAACCTAGGCCAAATCCAAGCAGTTTATTGTGTAGTATTCCTTAGCACACAATATTGAGCAAACACAGTATCAGTGAACACATAATGAAGTTTGTATATCTTTTTGATGACAAGTGACGGTTGGATTGTGGATAATCATTTCATAGCAAATCAAAACATTGTCGATCGAATGATTATACATCAGACAGATTCAGGTTACTGCGGGTAAAACAATCTTTACTATATAAAAGCCAATGAAGCAGAACCAACAAACGGGATTTACACCAAAATGAAATAGGAAACGGATGGGACTCACATTGTCCATATGTGCACGATAGTCAAAAGCAGATGGAAACATGATATCGCAATGCTGACAATGTGTTGCATCTGCCACATCAAGACTGGCCTGAGAAACCTCATCCACATGTCCCAAAATATGGGACATCAGTTTGACGTTTGAATAGAAGATACGCTGGCAGACCGCGCATTTGAATCTGAAATCGCCTTTTTCTTCCAGGTACCCCCGTGTACCTTCCTGTCGACCGAAATAGTACTCTTCCAGAGGTATATATTCCACTGAAAACGATAAGAGGCAAAAGGTAAGCTACGAAAATAGTTTTACAGCTTAATTTCCCTACTACATATTCCAGTGATTTATTGTAATCAATTATTTTCATTTTTACAAATGTTTATGGTCTGATTGTGAATCCTTGAGCAAATCACCTGTTTCCGCTTGGGCAACCTGAGAGTAACTCACCAATGAACAAGCTACGGATTGAGTAGTTCGTCGTAAAGATTCTTTTACTCTTATCTGTTTGGCATTGAGTCTGGACACAGAACAATGTTCAACACAATATACACAATACAGTGAAACCTAGAGTATCTTTCGACGATCCGTGATATCTGTGCCGCCTCCATGACATAGGACTTTTCCTCAAAGGAAGGGCAAATAACATAAAAATATCAAACCAAAAAAATTGCTTTTGTTCATTTAGTTCGCTGAAATTGATCGTTTTCCGCGTCGTTTTCTTTTATACCGCAACTCACTCTTTTCTATTACTATCAACGTTGCGTTGGCACTAGGCTGGTTTGCTAGTAGGTGAATATATATAATACGTAGTATGTGAATGACGGGACAAAATTTCCCTGGAAGCATACGACCGGTTTCGTGGTTCTTGCCGCTCGTCAGGCATGCGTATCTAACCCACTTACAAAACATCCAATCATAGCATTGATTCTTCATTGGACTGGCTCTGAAAGAGCTGTCTATCCAATGGTTACCCGGTGTTGCAAACAAGGTTATTGTGACGAATATATATATATACACCATAAAAACTAAGCGTAACCAATACCATAAGGAAAACGAAAAATAAACCATTAACAAAGTTTAATTGAAATCGTTAGAGCCATGAACAAATAAAACATGTACCAAATGTCTCACCTTCCTTGGTATCCTTTGTTACTTTCTTCACAGTGATTCCTTTGGCTGAAGGAACAAGTTCGATAGCTCCATCACTGTTTGAAGCATTTGGCACGTTTAGCTCAGGTTCTGGAATATCTTCATCTATATCAGCAGCATTTCGGAACACAACCGTGGGAGGCAGGAAAGTACGTAGAGGGCGAACTGAACCGTGTATTTTCGCGCGTTCTCCATCAACAAAACATTCAGATATATGAATAGCAGGCCAATCAGATCTTATGGGTTTTTCTGAGTCCAAAAATTCATCCGGTATGGGAGTGTGTGTCTTGACGACAGCCACTTCACCATCTAAAAGGAAAAGTGAAGATTAAGAATGGACCTACCTTCAGCAATTGGAAATTCCCAATTGTTTTGTTGCAATGTATTATAAACCGATATCGCTCCGGCGTGCTGAAGAGCATTTAAGGACTCTCCTGTTAGAAGACCATGCTCTCCGATCGTTACGGCTTCTTCAGTGACGCAAACATTGCCACAAAGGGCTAGTCGGCCTACTGCATCCAAAAACGTCCGATACTCCCTGAATAAAAAAGGTAAAGTGACGCAATGCAACAGCTGAGCAACAGTAAGTGTCCGACTAGTTTTTCTATGTGAGCAGTTAGTAAATAATACTTTAACATAAATAATCGGCATTACCGAAATTATCTTACGCGGATAAAGAATAATTCTTCAAAAGTCGATTTCCCGATCGGTTGCGCAATTTCAGTATTTACGAGATAACTGGTAGATCGACGAAATTCAGAGAGTTGAGATTAAATAAGGCCACGTAAACTCAGAATTCTAAATAATTTGAGGGTCTTGTATGTAGGAGAAATGAGATGATCGACAAAGGACAAGGACCAGCTGCTTTAACCTAGATCAGACTCATCATGGATGAACAATAGTGAAGGAACGAAATACTACGCTATCTTGCACCCAATGAGCTGTGCAATACCGCGGTTATTTCTGTTATAAAAACCTGTTGAGGATCATGCCCGTTCCTTAATTTAAACTCCTCTGTAGTCGTTATCTGCTTTAAAATGAGTAAATGCTGCTTGGAAACTTTTACGGAAGCGAAATCTGGGAAACATGGTTCTTACTTTTAATTTTAATCTGAAGTATTAGCTTCCTGATTCCTCACTACGAACACCCTCCTTCCACCAATGCTGCTATTCTTAATTCTCCTATTATTTGCTTATTTCGCCGGTGCTTCATTGGCCTCTAAACGCCATGATGGCCCCTCAACCTTGAACCTATTCCAGCTGGGAGTTCTCGAAGCAATATTCCCTTCGACGTCTGTTAAACCTCCCGTAAACAAAAAATACCCATATCTCATTAATTTCAAACTCAACTGTTTATTTTTTTATTACACATTCGTGTGATAACAGCAAACGGGGTAAACCCCATAGTCACGAGAACCCGCTGTTCAGTGATGGAAACCGGTAACCTAAGCCCCGGGACTTGGAGTCGTGAACCTACAGCAAAGCTGCTTACCACCAAGAATGATTACACTACTTTTATTGTTTTTATCGTTATTCACAAAAAATTTGCCTGTATTGACTTTGATGCGGCACCAACCGCACCCAGTTAACCGCTTGTCGAGCGATGAAGTTCACTTCATCGTATTTCCGTGGTACGATGATGTTTGAAACGTCACTCATACCAAGATCCCCAAACACTTCATATTTATTTCACGAGGCCAGCTCATCATCCGGCCTATCGACGACGGCTCTATCACACGCACTTGAGTCAATGTTGCCGATTACCGTAACCCGCCCTCGTGGTTATGATAAACATTGTGTGTGTATTTCACACTTGTCTGATGAACATGATCAACATTACAACTAATGCGAATCACACTGTGGTAAGAGACGCGATATGCTAATTGCAGTCACTAACCCACCACCAAGTTATCACCTGTCACTCCTCTACTTTTCGTGTTTTACCCGTCTTGCTCTTTTCTCATCAACCGCCTGTACAAGTAACCAGATGTGCACTCCAGGGGTCCGCCCTCAACCATTATTCAGTTGACTCCACACCTGTAGGACAATTAAGCTCCGCATTCTCCTCCGCATACATCACTTTTTGTCAAGGCGGAAGTAACAATTAGGTGTTACCTTGCATGTGTTCTTTCTACGGTTTACTCATTCACCACAAACACTGCACAGATTTCTTTGCAGCTTCAGTAGGGCAGGCTACGGGGAAAATGTGAATGATATCGTCTTGCTGGCTTCCGATCATATCCCAGTTCGTGCTTGCCTCAAGGGCCACCTGAAAACTCGAAAAATTCTTTCCTCGTGGCTACAATAAATGCCATTGTTTTAGAAAATAAGGAAAGAGGACAGATCCCATCAAACGCAGTGGCTAACAAGCTCATCACAATTATCCAAGCTAACGATGCGGTGGATGTGCAATACACAAATATTAATTTATACATCCAGGAAACCGTGGTGAAACATCCAAGGAAAGCGACACGATTACATGAGGACTGGATTTCCGAAGAAACGCTCCAACTGTCTAATGATGAAAAACAGGCACGACTTCACCAGTCAAACGAAGCCCGCATCCTTCGCTGTGAAGCTACTCGCTCCACCAGTACAGACAGTAAGAGGAATTGAGAGGAAATGGCAGGCAAGGTAGAAGCCACCGCAGGTGTTGGAGACTTCGGAAAGATGTTGCACATTATCTTTGTTATTCTGGGCACCATTCAGTGGACACCACGCTGAGCGAACTAAGGAGACACCTTTTAAAATAAAGTGAATAAAAATAGCTGAGACGGGTTAAGCGCTTTGGCCAGCAACTGAATGGCACAACTAGGTTCTTGTTAGAATTAAAGGCTGGACGCCCTGGCACTACCCGTCCATAAAGCTCCAATGAACACAGAAACAAGAAGTAATTTCATACTGCATCGGTTGTCGCACAGGATAATCAAGAACGTGCTGCCCATTGCGTCGAGCGGGGTGGGTAGTGATAAGTGAGCTACTCCTCAGATATCCCAACCTTTGGTTTAACTCTTTACCTTCCGTACGCAACCTTCTCCTTTTACCCCTTCTTCAAACCCATAACAGTCCCTCAGACAACTTGTTCATCCCTTACCAAAGTTCGTCACCAAGCA